TCAGAGTCTGTTCTGCGCTTCCCTCCCACGCCTACCACCCCCAACACTCCTCCTACTCCCTTCCGTTGAGAACAAGGAATTTCCAGTCTTTAGGAAAAGGAGAGACAGAAAGGCTTAGAGACTATGAGAAACAAGAAAAACAAAGATGCCCTGGCTGGTTTGGCTCAGTGGATGGAGCGTCGGCCTGCGGAAAAAAAAATCATTGACTTGTCAAACTCCGCCAGAGGCCAGGCAGCCGGAGCTGCTGAGAAGTCTGTTCTGCGCTTCCCTCCCACGCCTACCACCCCCAACACTCCTCCTACTCCCTTCCGTTGAGAACAAGGAATTTCCAGTCTTTAGGAAAAGGAGAGACAGAAAGGCTTAGAGACTATGAGAAACAAGAAAAACAAAGATAAGGGGCAGGGAGTGGGGAGATGACAAAAAGGTAGGGCAAACACAAGATCTTCATTTCTTTTTCTCTTCTGGGCCCCATTTCCCCAGGGTGGCTCAGGACCGCTTCCCTACCTGACTCCCCTGCTCGCCCCACCCCTGCCTCAGAGTTCTCAGAGGCACGCAGAGCTTCGGATCCCATTTAATCAATTGACTTAATGTCTATAAATAATTTATTAATAAATAATTGGCTAGCCCTAACTGGTTTGGCTCAGTGGATAGAGCATTGGCCTGTGGACTGAAGGGTCCCAGGTTCGATTCCAGTCAAGGGCATGCACCTTGGTTGTGGGCACATCCCCAGTAAGGGGGTGTGCAGAAGGCAGCCGATCGATGTTTCTCTCTCATCAGTGTTTCTAACTCTCTATCCCTCTCCCTTCCTCTCTGTGAAAAGTCAATAAAATATATTTAAAATAAATAAATAAATAATTGGCTAATTAATTACCTGTCAACACTGGACTCTTCCAGGAAAGAAAACAGTATCCTCAGTCCCAGTGTTTCCCAAGAAAAGGAAAGAAGATTGTGAAGAGAGTGTGTAAAAGAGGAGGAAATTTTGAACCAGAAGGACTGTCATTCCTAGGCACGTACAGATTTTCATCTAGTGGATTGCACTGTTCACTTTCCCTCTGTCCCCAGTGTTCACCAGGCAAAAGCAAGCTCACTCAGCAAGGTCTGGTTCAGATGTCACCTCCTGGACCCTTCTTGTACCCACTCTAGGCAGAATTAATTCCTCCCATCTCTCAGTGGCCTTATGGCTCTCTGTACACAATTAAATTATAGTTGCTTGTTTCACCCTCAGCCCAGGACACCACCTGGGTAAGTCTGATATCTGGTGGGCCCTCTGAAATGAATGAGTTGATGATGCTCTTCCCAGGCCTGAGCAACTTTGTAAAGGGCAATAGACACAGATTTTACTTCAAAAGGAGCTGAACCTGGGCAAAACTATTTTAAGTGGAGATACTTGTTTTTCGCGCGCGTCCCCTTCCTTCTTTAAGTTTCCAGTGAATCTCACAGCTTTGGCTCCTTGTTCTTCTAAAACAGTGGTTCTCAACCTTCCTAATGCCGCGACCCTTTAATACAGTTCCTCATGTTGTAGTGACCCCCAACCATAAAATTATTTTCGTTGCTACTTCATAACTAATTTTGCTCCTGTTATGAGTCGTAATGTAAATATCTGATATGCAGGATGGTCTTAGGCGACCCCTGTGAAAGGGTCGTTCGACCGCCAAAGGGGTCGTGACCCACAGGTTGAGAACCGCTGGTCTAAGGAATGTTGTCCTTCAATTTAGTCATCTTACAAGAGATGCATCACTCCTCCAGAGACAAAGTAACTGCCTTTAAAGAGCTCACAGACTAGTAGGGGAGATAGACATTTAAACAAATAATTACAACGTAGTGCTATAATAGGGGTATAAACAGTGACAGGATAGGGGGCAAGTGCCCTATTCCGCCTGGGGTTGTGAGGGACAAATCCAAAGGAGGCGGTGATGCAGCCTAGGATTTTGATTTCTGAATAGGAGATTTCCAGGAGAAAGAAATGATCAAGTCAGAGAGAGCAGAATGTACACTTACATGGACGTATGAAATAGAATGATACGTATGAGAAACTAAAAATTGTTCACTGTTGCTGGATGGGGATGGTGGTGGTAAAAAAGGAGCCCAGGGAGGTGTACAAGGCCATTCCATTAGGATTATAGACTAGGGCCCTGGCTCAGTGGTAGAGCATCGGCCCACGAACCACCCCCAAGGATCTGTGAGTTCAATTCCTGGTCAAGGCTACCTGGATTTCAAGTTCCTTCTCCACCTGGTCTGGGTGCGTGGAGGCAACCAATTGATGTGTCTCTCTGACATTGATGTTTCTGTCTCTCTCTCACTCTCCCTTCCCTCCCTCTCTAAAAATCAATGGAAAAAATATCCTCTGGTGAGGATTAACAACAACAAAAATTACAGACTAGGGCTTCTCGAACTATAGTAAAGGGCCAATTAAAAAAAATTCCAATCTGTTATCCACTATTTCTATAAAATACAGAAAAAGTAAAATAAAATCCCCATTTTTATTAGCCTCAATCAATATAAAATTTCTCTTGAATTGCTGTAAAAGTTCCTAAATGCTTACATTTAATTTCTGAAATTTTTTTCTTTGCAGATTCCTAAGAAACTTTGAATAGCACCGCCGTAGTTGTTTCTTTAGCTCTATGTTTTGGATCATACTAAGGACCCTGGACTTTATCACAGAAGATACTCTGGAACCATAAAGATCTTGTCATATGGGAGTGACAAGGTCAGATCTGCATTTAGGAGTGGTGTGGAGGAAGGGTTTTATGGCTGCAAAAACATCAGAGAGGCCAGCTTGCAGGAAATTAAATGTGAGAAATCGAAAGGTGCTGGACTAAATCATTGGCATGAGATAGAGAGGACAGAACAGATTTCAAAAGATTTAAATTAATAAGACCTGTTGATTGAGTGGCTAAGGGGTTGGGGAAAGAGGAGAAGGGTTAGGGTGACTCTTGAGCTTCTAGCTTGGGTGATGGAGTAAATAGAATAGAGTGCTTCTTCCCAAAACTTTGGGAATTTTCTTCATCAAATACTCACCATTTGCAATCCTTTTCCTAAATGAAAAAAAATTATGAAAACCAAGTTTTTCATAACTCATTTGATGACAAGCCCTAATTTGATCTGAACTTATCTTGTGACAGACCTGATCTAAACTTACACGAGATAATTTATAGTTTTTGCTTATCACACAGGTTTATCCCAGTGTGACTATTCATATATCTCATTGCAGACATACAAATTTGTTCAATTACAGGGCACTATCCCAGACCCCATTGGGATTGTTGCACTACATTGTGTGTGCACCATGTTACCTTTCTAAAGTTCAAAAAAATTCTGAAACACATTTGCTATCCAGATTTCCCAACCCATTTACTCATCAATCTTGGCTTGAGTTCTTTTGGTTATTTGCATAAATCAGATCCACCTGCAGGTAATGAATATTCATTGCAATGTATGCTATACACTCTGAAAATGATTCTCAAAGTTTTGAGCAGTGTCCTCATTATTAAAACAATGCCAAAAACATCTTGAGTGATTACTGCGAAGTGACAGACAGAATTCAATTGGATGGTAAAGTATGAAGTATTTATGGATAACCAGTCATACCACTGTACATCTCATTGTTAAATTTTAGCAGTCAGTGGTCAGTGATCTGGAATTAGTTCCCAAACCTGGAATTAGTCCCCTGGTTCTCTGGCCTTTAGTCAAAACTAAAGTGTGAGCTCTGAATAATGAGAATTTGGGGCCTGGTAGGAAATGAAATTGTGTGTGTGTGTGTGTGTGTGTGTGTGTGTGTGTGTGTGTACACAAATTATTTTTAAAGTTTTAGGTTCACACAAACAAACTGAGAACATAGTCCAGGGAGTTCCCATGTACCCCATATCCAGTTTCCACTATTATTATATTAGTATCGGTACATTTGCCACTATTAATGAATCAGTATTGATATATTGTCATTAACTAAAAATCTGTAGTTTATTCAGATTTCCTTAGTTTCTATGTAATTTTCTTTTCTGTTCCAGGATCCCATACATGATACCATATTAGATTTGGTTCTCATGTCTCAGGTTCCTCTTAGCTGTTCAGACTTTCCTTGTTTTTGATGACTTGACAGTTTTGAGGAGTATTTATAGGCTGCCTCTCTATTGGAATTTGTTTAATGTTTTTCTCATGATTATATTAGTTTTATGGGTTTGAGGGGGGGAGACCACAGAGATAAAAATGCCATTTTTATCACATGCTATTAAGGATACTAATATCAATGTGATTTATTGCTGTTGATATTGACCTCTCTAGGTCAGCCAAGGGACTGTGTGTATGAGACATAGGGTGACCATTGTCTCAGGGGTGGCCTAGACTTTCTTTATGAGGGTAAAATTTCTTCTCTTGCCCATGGCTCAGTCCCATAATTGACTTTTTAAAAATTCCTCATTTCTGAAAGCTTGAACAATCTCCAGCAGTTACCTCTTTCCCTGAGTTTCTCTCCAATTCATTAGGTTTTATCATCTCTAGTGTTCATACTCACAACCACCACTATCAGCTCCTCTTTAAAAAAAAGATGCTTCACCCTGGCCAATGTGGTTCAGTTGGTTGGTCATCATTCCACGCTCTGAAAGGTTGCTTGCTTGATTTCTGGTCAGGGCATATGCCAGGTTTGGGGCTCAAACCCAGTAAGGGTGTGCAGGAGGCAGCCAGACAATTGATGATTGATGCTCTGCTCTCATATTGATGTTTCTCTCTCTCTCCCTCTCCCTTCCTTTCTGTCTAACAATCAATAAAAATATTTTTAAAATAAGATGCTTCAATTTCTACTAACATTTACTGAACACCTGTTATGTACACTCTGCTAAGCCCACACTGTGTGAAATCATTTAATGGGAAGCAGCTTGATGCATAGAAAGAACTCAGGCTTTGTAGTGTTAAGACAGACGTGGGTTGGAAACACAGTCCAGCCCAACTAACTATGCAATCTTGGGCAGGTTCTTCTGCCTCTCTTAGCCTTGGCTTCTTTTTCTTTTTAATTTTTTTTTTTTATTGATTTGAGAGAGAGAAGGAGGCAGGGAGGGAGAGAGAGAAATATCGATTTGCTGTTCCACTTAGTTATGCATCCATTGGTTGATTCTTATATGTGTCCTGAGTGGGGAGCATGCCTGCAACCTTGGCATATCAGGAGGATGCTCTAACCAACTGAGCTACTACCCGTGCCAGGGCTGCCTTGGCTGCTTCTTAAATGGAGATAATATTTGTCTCACAAGATGTGAGGAATAAAAAGCTTTCTCTTAATCCACATATTTATTTCACTTCAAAAAATTATCCTATGACTACATTTTAAAATGCTAATATTTATTCCTATGACACACTGACCACACATTTTTGTGTGACTTCTGTTTTAAATAATTTAGGGCCTTAGAAAACACAATCATCTTTTAAAACTTGCCCCGTCAGGCCCCACTGATAAAGATCTCTCAATTATAAGTTACCCTTAACAAAAAGATCGTGATAAAAAAGAAAGAAAACAGAAGGAACTTGAGACAGTTTCCATGGAAATATCAAGTTCGGTCAAGGAGGCCTCGCCCATTCTGATTTTCTATTGGCTAAGCTTACCATCAATCGCACCAGTTGTAAATAAACTGGAGACGGAAGCATGTTGTTAAGGGGTGGAATCTTCCTGTCGCCATTGCTAAAGGCGAATTCTAATAGGCTGAAAGCTGCTGCTCCCGCCCTCTCGCATCGTTTCCAAGAGGCGGGATTATAAGGTCCGCTAGGGACTGCGAGCTTGAAGCTCCTCCCTTCCAATTGGTTGTTATGGGGCGGGTCTTGTAGGGGATAGGCTGCTGGCCCTGCCTGTTCGGGATTAGTTGCTGGGGAGGGACACGTGAGGAGGCGGTGGCGGGAGGCGACTATGGCGGGAGGCATGAAAGTGGCGGTCTCTCCTGCAGTGGATGCCCGGCCCTGGGGCGGAGGGCCCCGGGGCGGCGGGGCAGTGCGGCTGCTCCTGGTTCTGTCCGGATGCTTGGTCTGTGGCTCAGGTACTGCCCGGGGCAGCAACTGTCAAGGGGGCTGGTTCCGAGGGAGTTACATTCAGAAAAGTGGGGAGCGGTCCCGGGCGAGGCCGGTTACTCTGCTGAGTGGCGTGGGCTTATGGGGAGAAAGAAGCTTGGTCGTCGGAGAATGGGCGCGGGTACTGAGTCAGGGCCTGGGGGGCGGCGTGGTGGCGGTGCCCTCCGTGGGGAGGAGCTTGAAGCCTTTTGGTGGAGACAGGAAGGGAGGCCCGAACTGGGACGAGAAAGCGGTTCCCGGGGGCTGTGTCCCGCTGCACGGGCCTCCTCGAGTTTTTTTGGTTAAAAGGAGGGTAACTCGAGAAACAATTCGGGAGGGAAGAGCTTCCGGCTGTAAAGAGAGAATGATGATTCGTTTATGAATATAGATACACCTCCCGGTGTGTGTTATTT